TGTGCCTATTATTATTATTATTATTATTATTATTATTATAATACAGGATTTTCATAGCACCAAAAGTTTGCACAGTGCTTTACAATATAAGGAAGAGATTACAATACAATTCAAGACAACATGGTTAGGAGGGCCCGCTCATGAGAGTTTACAATCTATAAGAATAATAAAATACTGTGATTTTTAACATACCATAGTTGTATTGTTATTTGGCACATTAAAAGTCCCATTTGTAAAAGTATTTTGTTCTTAGATGTAATGGTAAATGGATGCATTCCCTGAGATCTGACAGTGATCAGGAGTTATAGTTAGCAGAGGGCTGCGCCTCCTGAAACAATTAGTAACAATCTATGCAAATGTTCCAATGTAAGTGAAAAGGTACCTTCTTCCATCCCCCGCTATACACCCTAAGGGTCAGTGAGGGATTTGATGTGAAAAGGGACATTACCTCTTTGTTGCATAGTTGGATGAATGCAAAGGGGATCATCTGGGAGTGTGGGGGAAGGGATTAACCAGCTGTCCTGATCAAGCACAGGAATCTCCCCTTTTCATCCAAGGACAGCTTTGGTACAACGCCTAGCCAATAAATCTGTTTTTCCCAGACACCTTCATAAAGCATTTACCCCATATCATAACCTGTCACTCACAATGCATTAGCATGGATTACATATATCATAATGAAACAGTTCCATTTGAGGCAAAGGCGACTGCATGTGATGTGGTGGGGGGGTTGGCTGCGGGTAATGAAATCTTAACAAAGAGTTTACAGAACAATGAAAGAGAAGACATACCAGGTGACCAATACACCATGAGACCAAATCTTCAGATGCATGCATGGATTACACAAATATATACCTGTGAAGAGCTCAGTTGTGTGAACTCCATTCATTCGCATTTACAGTTCCTGGGATAACAGGAACCCAGAGCTGTCCGTTTTTAATCTATACATGAACATTCTCTCAGTTCTACAAGTGTCAAACTTTCTGCATATATTTAATCTGTTTTTTTTTGCATATAGTTTTGAATGAAACCATGCTTTTGTCAGACTTTAAAGTGGACCTGTCACCAGCCTAATGCAGCAGCTGTTCCTCTAGGGAGTACTTAGTGCTCTGTAAATCTCACAGCTGCTGTCCTGTGAGAATTTCTTATTAGGCTAAATTGCTGTCTGCTGGAAGCTGCCATTGTCTGTCTTACAAGCTGCATGGTAGCAATGCAATCACCTCACTTGCATTGATATCGAACAGATATTTCACTTACTTCACTGCTCTGGAGTTAGCTAGTGAATCAGCTAGTGGCTCTTAAGGTGCCCACACACCTTGCGACAATCGCGGGAAATCCCGTGATCCTACGATTATCGTAAGGTGTGTGGAAGCCGTGCGACCTCTACTACTGTAAGGTTGCACGACTTTTATCTTAGGAACATGTGTGTAGCATGTTCGTAAGATAAAAGCCGGACGGGCCGGTGTGCGCAAGCACACACTGCCCGTTCAGCGTTGCGGTCATCGGAAGCCCGCCCCTCAGGGGGGCGCGGCTTGCGATCATCACAAGTACTATCTGCCTGTCCAAGATAGGCAGATCGTACGTTTTTTTAATTACCTTACAACCATCGCAAGTGTATGAAAATGCATGTTACATGCATTTTTATGTGCTTTCATTGAAGTCTATGGGACTAAAATTATCACCTGCACAATTTTCCCAGTCGCATTGGAAGTGCATTGCATAGGTATGAACAGGCCCTGTGGAAAATGATGGGATTCCTTTTGTTGCGATCAGTGATGGACAGAGTGCATCAAATGACACACGTGTGAACGGGGACTAAGGGCCTATTCACTAGTGTCCACTTTCATGCAACAAAACTCATGCATTTCACTGCAAGAAGGTGTATTATTACAAGTAGAAATCCCATTTTTTATGTAGCTGGTTCACATCTATTTGCTGCAGTTTAGAGTAAGAGAGAAATTGAAATGACATGGGCCATTTATAGCTACGTGTGTGCGTTACCACGCATTCTGCATGCACACCGAACAGTTTAATCCAGCTTAAAGGTAACTTGTCATGATAGAACAGGGATAGGCAACCTCAGCAATACAAATCCCATCATGCCTTTGCCTCTAACCTCATGCCTGTGGCTGTCATAGTCTTACAATGCCTCATGTGACTTGTAGTTCCACAACAGCTGGAGAGCTAAGATTGCCTACCTCTGAGACAGAAATATTGATACTGCCATTGCTGATCCCCTTGTAAAATTTAAATTGACTGTCATGTTGACCTTCTGGCTTTCATACTTTCAGAGTCACTGACCTATAAAAAGGGTCCTGACCTCACTCCAATACTACTTGCTGCACTCTTCTGGGTCAGAAAATAACAAACCTGCAGACACTCTGAGAAGTAGAATATTCAAAATGTCACCAATGACAGCCCAAGTATTTCTCACATGAAATATCCCTTTAATTCATTTGAGTGCACTAAAATTAAAGGGTTATTAAACCCTCATTTTTTTTGCATATATCTACTGCTAGCAAGCAGTAAATATATGCAAAAACTTTTTTTAAAAAAACTTTTGAAAAAGGTTTAAACTTACCTGTGTCTTCACCGCACGCTCCCATCCGAACATCTGAAGAGTCTCGGGCGGCCGCAAAGGATCTTGGGGCGGGCACATGTGCACTTCAGATGTTCGAGAGGAGAGACACAAGGTAAGTCTATGGAGCAGCGTGCACCCACACAGAAATGAGAGAAGAGGAGAACAGAGGAGTCAGCGCTGGATCCGAGACCGGCACCGGAGGGACATCTGAAAAGGACAAGAAAGAAGAAGATGATAAAGAGGCATCATTTAAGGTAAGTCCTGACACTAACATTGGGAGTGGGGGGAAAAAATTGCCTGAGGGCCTGTTCACATGATATCAGATCTTGATCAGGTCCGGATCTGCGGACGCGGTGCTACTGATGCAGTACGTTTTTGATGCGTTACAGTTAAAAAATATATATATATATTTTTTTTTGCTGGAGTGGGGCTGTCAGTATGTTAGCTGCAGTGCAGTGCGTTATTGACACGTTTTGCATTTCCGGTCCGTTTCCTGACCGTACAAAATGTGACATGCAGTATTTTTTCTGTCGTAACCTGAACAGACTGCGCACGTGAGAACTGGAGCCCATAAAACACATAGGGATGCATTGGGATGCATTTTGAGTGCAGGAGCGTACGGATCAGGTCAGCACAGAAAACGGACGTCGTGTGAACAGGCCCTCAGGGCCTGTTTTCATGTCACTTTAGAGGCAAACCCAATGTCTTTGATGAGATTCCTGGATTAGTCTACTTAGATGTAAATACTAAAATGAGAAAGTTCTCACCTTCTTAAATACAATGCTTATGCACATCACACACATAACAATCTGATTGTACAGTATCCTTTAGATCTGCCAACAAGTATGTAGTAGACATGTGCGATTAGTTTCGTCCCGAATTGAAATTTGGACGAAATTTCAGAAATTCCTGGATTCGGAGCATCCGAATTTCCGAAACGTACCATGTCCGAATTCATCCGAAAGCATCCGAATACAAAATTCCGGATCCGAAATTTCGGATTCAGAATTTCGGGTTCAGTACGAATTTCGTCCTAATGGAAAAGAAATGAGAAATTTACGATAATCACTACAAAAAGAGGATTTCATAGCATGTGAAGATAAAAACAAAACATTACTTCATGTTCCTGTGCATGCACCGTCAACGTTTAAACGGATAAAAAAAATTAAGAAAAGGATTTAATGTCCCTTTAATAGTGAAGACTAGAGCACAGCAACCAGAAATGTCGACTGTGTCAATTCTGCTACGTACGTACGTACAAACATTCGTCCGTTTCGCGCAAAACCCCAAATTTCGGAAATTCGTCCGAATTACGAATCCGATCCGAATCCGAAACCCAAAACGAAACACATACAGACCCCGATTTCAGAAATAAACGAAACAAATTTTTTGCGGCTGCATATGTCTAGTATGTAGTGCAAGGACCTACTGTATCTGACTAGATATAGATTGGATAGAATGGGTAGGCCCTCATATTAAAGTTTTGGTAGATCTATGATTGTACAAAGATTGTATGATCAGATGTGTATGGTGAGCCTAAAGCTGGGTACACATGGACAGGTTAAGGTATGCCGCCGGGCCCCCTCCTCTCTCTCCTGATACTGAACTTCCACTATAGACTATGGGACCAAAAACGCTCATTCTTCTAAATCGCACTCCCAGCCCATTCAGTGGTGACACTTGCAATCCCTGCCCTTTTGTGAATTGGAAGTGCAGGACGGGGAATGAGCCTGCTGCAACGGATTTGCCCCCCGTGTCGGTCGCAGTTTTGAGCGGGCTTGGGTGAACTCAAGTGAACTGGATTCCCACCGAGCCCCCACTCATCACTAATGAGGATTACATTCAGCCCGCCCCAAGGAGCAATGCAGTCAGGTGATCAATAATTGGGACAAAGAAAGCTGCAAAATAAATCCCTCCAACTGTTAGCTGTTTACACCTCACCAGAGTTCAGCATGATTAGAGACAAAGCAAAAGCTCACCACACACCTTGCAATCTGATTATACAATTTATTTTTAGGATCACCACACTTTACAATCTGGCATACCATCAGCTGGGTAGAGCAAGTGCTTGCCTGACTGCATACACATTGGTTCTATAGATCCAGATAGGTTCTTATATCATAGATTTAATATATCTAACGTTGATTGTGCGATCTGATTGTAACATGTAAGGTGGCCCTTATAGTGTGTCTATCGCAGACAAAGCCTTCGCTGGGGGATAAAAGCTATTCTGCCTCCTCTCGGCATGGAACCGTTTTGGAAACATTGGCAGTCAGCAGAGCTTTGTCTCCGAGCTTCCTGTCACTGAACACAATAACAGTCTGCCCAAACAATGTGCCAGGCAGCTCCGGACAGGCCCCGCCCCTCCCAACAAGCTGTCTGTGCAGCCGGCTTTCCCTGCACACGCCCACTTGGGAAGGGCCAACCAAGCTCATATAACGATGTGGGGGAACAATGAACCGGGTCAGACTCAGCGTGTCCGAGAGAGTGTGCGGGGACACCCGGGGTAAGAGAAGGCACGGTGTGCGGGCTGGGGGCAGGGGATGTGTGGCTGTTCCCTGGGGACTTGGCCAGTGCATGGCTGATCGCTTCACTGCGTGTGGTTGCGCAATAGTGGACACATGCTTGTATAAGCGTTCGCCACATGCTGTAGGGAGTGCTGGGCAGCTTTCAAGGAGCTTTGGATTTAGTTGTGTTTTGACCGCTTATGAAATGTGACCCATACCTGTTCTGAGTTTACTTTTTGTCCTGGAGCATGGATCCACTTATAAACCAGTACAGTCACTTGTCTAGTCTTCCTACCTCATTATTGTGCTTAGACCTGATGGCAGAAAGTGATCAAAGACAGACTGCAGCACTTCTAGAGTTCACTGATCATCAGTTTATAGCAGGTAGTATACAGGTCTGGTTGCCCCGGGTTACTGCTTCTGCATTGGAGGGATGCATTGTGTAGGGCTAGATGAGGGTTCCACTCCTCTTGGCTTGCTTATCGGATACCCCAAAAGCCTAATTGAACAGCTGCTTTGCTTTTCCTTCTATCCAAAGTTACCTAAAAGCTAGTTTAGGTATTACCTGTTCTATTAAACCTAATAGCAGCTGTTATACAGGGTGGTTCTGTGTGCAGTCCTGTGCATGTGTGTATCTGGAGTATGTCCGCTCTAGCTGCCGCCTAGTTGCATTGTTCTAGGGATTCCTAAAAAGATGCATCTGTTGCCTAATGGGCTTCATTAGCACAGTCATTGCTAGTGTTTAATCCTGCCACTCTATTAAGTGGGGGTTGTCAACATGTGCCTCCCTGCTTGGTTGGTTGTCAACATGTTCCTCCCTGCTTTTTCCAAATAAAAGGTTTGCCTGTCTTGCCATCTCCTTGTTTTGCTCACCCAATATAAAATGGTCTAACAAAGTATGTATGTACTAGTAAATTACAGTCCTTTGTTTTGTTTTTGTAGGACAATGGATCTTGGCTGTTATAGCACACACTACTTCTACGATGAGGATCTCAAGGAGGACTTTTATCGTTATATTGCTCCCAGTGAAGATATCTGGAAGAAGTTTGAGCTTGTACCTGGTTGCTCTCCATCTAATGCAGGATGCCTGGGGGGGAGTGGTACTGACTGGGGATCAGAGATAATGGATTTGGGATGGGAATCTCCTGTTAAGCTCTCTGGGCTCAACTCTGTAGTGCTTTTGAGAGACTGTATGTGGAGTGGCTTCTCGACCCGCGAACACCTGGAAAAAGTAATCAATGAACGTATTTCAAGTGGCACTTCAAAGCCAGCAAGTACTCCAAAAACGGTTTCAGATTCTGAGTTGACGGAGACTGGGAGTGGCTCTGCAGACCAAGCGACACCAGGAGTTATTGTACCAACAGCCCACCCTGAAAAGATTCCCAATTCATCAGGATCTGAGAATACCAGTGACTCTGGTAAGAGCATACAATGATGGTCTACCTTCAGAGCATGGTGACTGTATTGTGCTGCTACACACACGCTTCACTAACCATGTGTTACAACCGGGATACTTTTTTGAACATATTGCATTATCTGATGAGCTGCTACCCGTGCAGGGGGGGATGCCCCTTTTGTCAATCCTTCCCAAGATTTAAAATGTTCTTTTATTATATTTTAAACCAGCCTTTTTCAACCAGGTTTCTGTGGAACCCTGGGGTTTCTTCAAAGGTTACTAGGGGTTCTATGAGCAATTTCCCACCTCTCTGCCTTTCAATCAGGGTTTCATGGATCCCAATGGCTCTTTGGAAGGTCACTAGGGGTTCCTTGAACAATGAGCAATGTCTATCTCTCAGTTAAGTAGCCCTTTTCACCAGAGTTCTGTTGAACCCTAGGGTTCCTCATAAGGTTACTAGGGGTTCCTTGAGCAGATGGCAATTTCAGCCTCTGTTGATTAACCACTGACACAATGATCTTTTGGCTTTCTGCAAGTGGGCCATTCTTCTCAATGACCACCAATGTAAGAAGCATTTTTTTTCTTCCATAAGCTGTAGATCTTGTAATTGGCAGGGGGTTCCTTGAGACCTGAAAGTTCTTTTCAAGGGTTCCTCCATGTTGAGAAATGTCGTTCTAAACATTGACACTTGCATGGACACAGTAATAGAATTTGGTCATAGATCTGCAGGATAGAAGACAAAATGGGTTTTGCTTGTTGAATTTGAAGGACTGACTGGGAAGTAAGTGTCCCTGATAATTAGTATAGTGTTTGGTTTAGGTATGTGTTAATATGTTGCATATGAATACTCTCCCGCTTGCAGGTCTGTCTATAGAAGTGTTTGGTTCTATGTACCTGCAGTGTTCATAATAGAGGTAGAGCTCTAATGTAATAGAAATGCTACTTCCTTATAACAAGCTGGCACCTGCATGTTGTACACACCTAGCACTGATAGCAGGTGCAAAGCAGGTAAAGTAGCTTCATTACCCTGCATTTGGTAACAAACTAGTCTCTAGAGTACAAGGGTGTGTTGAAAAGAATCGCTGTGTACAGTACATACACTGAAATGAGCTCAGCTGTGCTAGTGGGAAATAGTTAAAACATTTGGTGCTGTTATTGGATACATGTGTATTTTACATTGAATACCCCTGGAATAGGATTGCTAAGCACAGACACAGCATTACTGAAGTTGTAAGTATATAGGGCAGTGAAGGAGATGCCTTCCCAATCAATTTGTGACTTGCTTAACTTCCATACACATGGCATGAAATAGTTTCAATGAAGGTTTAGAGTAGACTGCAATACTTGCAATCGGTCTAAGTGTATTTAGCTGCTTATTTTTTGAATAGTTTGCCAGATACCTGCTCCTATATTATGGTAAATGTGTGATGTACTGTGTTTTATAAAGCTGAATGAACTCTATGGATTTGTTTCTTACATTTGGTAATGCATGTCTAATGAATTGCATAACAATTGATGTTTACGAGTCTTCATTTGAATAGTAGCATTTGCATGCTGACTTTGTAATGTTGCTTTTGTTTAGGGAATGTCGGATTCCTTAGAATGTAGGGCTGAGTGCCTTATATTTGAGAGAAATGACAATGGAGATGTTTTATTGTGGCACGTATAGAAGCAGATCTTGGCAAGGTTCAGTGGATGGCCATTGTAGACATGCCCCCTCCACTCAACACAAAGTTACACAATATGCTTTCAGCTGAATGAGGCAGCCACATGGTCAGACAAAAAGCAACAGCTTGCAGTCGGCAGGGGTCAGACACTATCTCCAGCCAATGAGAATGGCTCTAGCATTTGAACTGGGAGTATTAAACCAATTGGAGTCCTTAGACCTAGGATTTATTAATGGTGAAGTGAGCCTATTTACATTCAATCCTTTGTAGTGCCTTTTGTATTGAGACTGCAGACACCCTTCCCCCTACACCTCACCCATTCATACAGCCTCCTGCCAGACTTCTAGCACTCCCCTTGATCATTGCTGTGCAGTCTAGCCCTTTGTTTGGCAACACTACTTGCCCTGTACATTGGTGCAGCATGATGCAAAGGCATTTTATCAGGAATACATGCTTGTATATATTGTCTAGTCTTGGTTTCTTGTTTTGTCTTGTAAGCTGTGACAATCTCGTTTACTATATATTAATTACATGCCACAGAATAACCCATGAAAGAGAAGTGTATACACCCAGTATTTATATACAATGTAATTCTAGCTTCTTAAAACACATTTCGCTAACTCAACTGACTTGCTTGTTTAAAAAGGCAACATATTCCCTTTAATCCCTAGCCTGTAGATCAGAAACCTTTTGCATGTAAAATTTGTTTAAGGTATTAAAAATCTTATAGTTTTCAAGTCTTAATCTGCTCAGACACATTAGACTTTGTCTTGAGCATCCCATCAGCATTTAACAGGGATGCACATGGTGCTTCTTGAAACAAGCTCACTCTAAAGGGAGAACCTACAAAATATGGAAAGGCAAGCATGTAAATATGTAAATATGTCCACAGCAAAAAGAACTTGGGTAGCTGTGTTAAAAATCACTCGGTTTATTTGTGGTTTGCCTTATTTGTGTGGCTATGGTCGTATACAGTCCTTTCTATTTACTAATCCCTTTTCTCACTTTTCCTCTAGAAGAGGATGAGATTGATGTGGTGACCGTGGAAAAGAGAAAGTCCTATCGTGGTCGTCAACCAGTTACCATCACAGTTCGAGCTGATCCACTGGATACCGCTACCAAGCTCTTCCACATCTCAATCCACCAACAGCAACATAACTATGCGGCAAGGCTTCCTCCTGAGCCCAGCCCTACCTCTCCCGAACCTTGTCCATCTCCCTCTGTAGAAGAGCCTGGAGAAGTAAGTTGTTCCTCTGTACAACCCTGCAGTCCACTTGAATTAAGCTCCCCACCTCCATCTGGAGGTTCAGACAGTGAGGATCTTGTTAAAAGAAAGAATCACAACTACATGGAGCGTAAAAGGAGAAATGATTTGCGTTCTCGCTTCTTGGCGCTAAGAGAGGAAGTACCTGGTCTTGCTCATGCTTCCAAAACGCCTAAAGTAGTAGTGCTGAGCAAAGCATCAGAATATTTGCAAGGCTTGATCAGCGATGAGCAACGGCTTGTGGCTGAGAAACTGAAGCTTCGATGTCGTCACCAGCAACTTTTGAAAAAACTCTCCCAACTGAAAAGCCGTTGAAAGGGACACTAGTCAGAAGTCTGCCTGGCACATTTGCACATTGATGAGTTATGTCTTGGGATTGCACAGAAGTGAGATTTTCGCTTCGTAGTTGGTGTGCTCCATAGAGCATAAGTGGAAAAAGGGCTTGTCCTGTTTTCAGGTGAATTTTCCTTGGTCCTCAGGTTCTACAAATGATTTGTTCCCTCTATTTGGGAAAATGTACATTTAACTGTTATGGTTTTCTGCCCCCATAAGACTGTATACAGCTGTAATTCTTACAGGCTGAGCCCCTCGCCCAAGAACGTGAGGTCACATCTCTAATTTCTGAAGAGGTCTGACTCTCTAGATTCTGGAACTTAAAACCCAATGCCAGCCAACACATTCTTGGTTTTGGACAGAATGGGAAAGGGTTAGTATTGGTCAGGTTTGTATTGCAGTCTGTCCCCTTTGAAGAGATTCACTGTGATTTCTGTCCTGGTGACAGTGTTGCAGAAACAGGGAGTGATTAGTGAAACCTTTTCTTTGGGGAACTGGATAGGAACAAACACTTCTAGTGATATTTAGCTAATCTGTCAGGTTAAATGCCTGTCTCCTGTCTGACACCCATTCCCCTCTTTTCAGTCCTGGAGTGGTTAAACGGCAATTTAATTAAAAAAAAATATAAAGATCAAACTCATTTACTCTAGCCGAAATAAAAAAAGGTTATAGCTGGAGATGGGCTCTAAAGTTTTTGTTTGTATTCCCTCGCCTAATTTCTGTAATGCACTTTATGCACTTGACATTGCCAGATCTTTCATGGGGCCTTACTTTCCTCTTGCAAAACAGTTTCTGCCGTTAGTCAACAAATGGGATTCTTTTTGAACATCTTTTAGTAATTCCTTTTGCTGGTAGTGTAATGCTACTATGGATCTGCTCATCTAAAGCTGTATTAGGACTACTTGTAGACCAGAAGGACTGCCACATTGTCATAGGGGGAACGTTGGGACTGTCTGGTGTGAACCACTCTATACCTCACTCTCGTCACTTTACACTGGTTTGTCTGTTTTTGTGATTGTGTTTTTTTTTGTATATTTCTTTGAACCTGCTGCTTGCTGGATTTTGTACTGAATGACAAATTTATACTGTATTTTTGTATACCTTTTTTTGAGCAAATTTTCAGATTTATTAAAGAAAAATACTGATGTGTTGGCAATTGAAATCCTATGACCTCTGCTGTATGTAATGTCTGTCCTGAATCCTGCCCATCCTGTGCAACGATAAAATGTGGATCCACAGAATCCATTCCTAACTAAATGCGTTTGGATATCCATGATTGAACTTTTAGTCTTTTTAAAGCGTAGGATTAATCATGAATGTCCCATATGTGACCTGTTGGTGAAGTGTCCTGTATGGCACCTGTCTTTTGGCAGATAATTCTGTAATAAAGCATGTAGAAAAGATGCATGGATTTGCATATGATGGGTATAAGGGCACCTCTTACTTTTTTGAAAAGAACATGGATGCTGCTGTAGTATCTGAAGCTGACAATTGGTGATTGTTATAAATGTTCTTTTGTGGTGCAAAATATACAAACCACAAACACTAATAAAACAAAACCTGCAAATTGGCTTTATTTTGTCTGGTTTTTTTAATAGCATTTTGGGGTTTCCTGGGTATGTTTTCAATGGCATAAATCACAGGTCAGAACAAATATTTAAAGGAAGACTGTTAAACCATTTGTACAATATTTTGTCTTGTGAATTTCTGCATTTCCTGTAACTTTTTAGTATTGAACTCTCAAACTCTTCAATTATGAACCTAGATCAAACAAATGTATATCGCCCAGCATAGTATTTCTTCATATTTTGTGCCCAAGTCCAGTCTTCATGTTTCCAAACAGCTGACAACTCTCAGCTTGCCTTCCCTTAACCTGTCTAGTACAAGATCATAAGGACAGCACAGCAGCTGTCCATCTGCTACCTTGAGGGCTTGTTCACACCAACTGTGCTGTGTTCCAGAGCGGTAGCTGCTGGATTGCACAGCAATCTCGCTAAACTTCCCCTCTGCTCTGGGGTGGGAGAGGGTGTGGCGGTGCATTGAAGTCAATAGCACTGCAGTGACGTGCCCCTGCCCACAGTGCAATCAGATGCGTAGCAAAACATTGCCTGCATGCCTGTCCACTGCAAACTCCAAAAATAGAGCATGCAGCATTTTTGGCATTTGCAGTGTAGCGGAACCCAGGCAATGTTTTGCCACGCGTCTGAGAGTCACACTGGGGGCGTAGTTGCAGTGCCATTGACTTCAATGCACTGCCACGCCCCAGAACGAAGGGGGATGTTTAGTAAGCAATTGCTGTGCGTTCCTGCAGCTACTGATCTGGAACACACCAATTGATGTGAATAAGCCCTGAGGCTCCATTCACACCTGAGCGGCTGTCCGCACGCGTGGAGCCGCTCTAAACAGGGAATTCAAT